TTAATCGAGATCCGTTCAGTAGTTAAGCTACACTCTAACAAACATCCATCCATCTAAACTTTTGCATTAACAATTAGTAACATTTGAACCAGAGGCTAAAAGCTGAAATTTTCATTCTATGCTTTTAACCTTATTCATTCCTAAGTTTTATACACATCCAAACATATACTTTTATAGATGGTGTTTATTAAAATTATCTTACAAAATCTCCCAAACATTGGGGAGGCGTCGTTACATTGGCAACATTAACGATTCATTCCCCGACACGTGGCGTCGAAAAACTATTAATAAACGCAGATCACGATACTACGTTGTAAGTTGTAATCTCTATTATAAAGGTGGGTTTACACTAGTTTACGGGTTTCAAATGTCGAATTTGTATAAAAATTATAACCCCCATTATTTAAGAAAAGTAGAGACAATATTTTCACACAGCTATCATGAGTAAAATTTCATTGTATTTTTTTTAATCACATGTTATTTCAAAACTCATATAAAATTTGCTGTATTACTGCTATTTTATATAAACGTTTGTAATATTTTAAATAAGCTCGATTTTTCCATTGTAAATCACGCCATCTAGTTAAAAATATTATAAACAAGTAGTTAAGAAAAGTCTTCAATCGTCACACAAAAATCGTAACGAAACAATAGACAGCAGACAGAAGTCTAGAATGAGTCATCGTGTCCCTTACTACGTGAGACCCATGCATTATTCCTACACGTGTCATTTTACCATTAGAACGACACGTGTTTGTAACACTCATCGAATTACGAAACGCGAGCAACAAGCACCAAGCACCCATCATACTAATATTATAAATGCGAAAGTTTAGATGGATGTTTCTTAAAGTTTGTAGTCTTAACTGCGGAACGGATCTTGATGAAGTTTGACATAGATTTAGCCTGGAAGATCACGTTGGCTACTTAGTGATTTTTTTTAATTCTTTGCGTACGGATACGCGGGCGAAAGCTAAATTGCCATAATTAAGTCATTTTGGATATTTAGATAAGTATAAAATAAAATAAAAATCTCTAAGCGTATTAGAAAGTAGGTTAATGACCTTAAATCGTCGTCTGAATAAGCTTTTTGATTAAAATTATTCTGCTATACCAGTAGTTAAAATTTTTACGAATAATTGTAGGCGGTTTTAGGGATTAAATTATCTTCTACCATTAACCAAAATTTTTTACATCACATAGACTAAGAGCCAAGGGCAGCTAGACCGTCGTTGTTTTATTAAAGCTGGAATTTTAGTAATAGAGCACAACAATTTTTAAAATAAACCCATGTTGTCCGTAGAACTGCATTGGGCGGTTGATTTTCTTCGAATTGTTGTACCAGGAACGCATAGAATAAGCGGTGATATGTTTATATGAGTAAGCGAAATTCCGGCTGCAGCACCGTCATATAAGGTTATGGTAGCCTGGTACTTCGAATTTATGAAATAAACTTAACACAACATATTTTTGTAACTTTGAACATTTTTTCTTAAATTTTAATATTATATGGATATATTATGTATGGATGGATGTTAGTCAGAGTTTTTAACCTAAACAGCTGAACAAACCTAGATGAAATTTGGCATAGATGTAGAACCAAGTCTAGAAGAACGCATAGGCTACTTGCTTTTGTTTTTTTTTATTTCACGCGCACATAGACTCTTGTAAAAGTTACAAATAAATATATTCTCTATGTGTAGAATATAGTGAAATCTTTTGTAGAAATTAGATTTCAAATGTACAAAATTACATGAGGCGATACGATTGTAAGGTCAATGACCTTAACCGTTCGCAACTGGATATGATAATGGGAACGTATTTCGCATACTTAATGACTATTGTTCCTGATTTTGTAATATTAAACCTCTTTTCCACTAATCGACCAAATTCCTATTTTATGACTATATACTAGATAGCATGTAGTTTTAGTGGAAAGAGCCTACGATAAACGTAAGTACATACTAGCTTCCGCCCGTAACTCCGCGTGGAATTAATAAAACAAAAGCTTATGTGTTTTTCCAGACTATGCTCTACATTTATGCCATATTTCATCAAAATCCGTTCAGTCGTTTAGAAGGCAAACTCTAACAATTATTTATTTATCTATCCATCTAAACTTTTGCATTTATAATATTAGTAAGATTGGTTATTCTAGAATTATAGGTTTTTTTCGACCCATCCTAATCTTATATTAACATGTTTTTTGTTGGAATGAACTAATGGTTAGCTACACTACAATATACGAGTAAGTAAGAAAATGAATTAATTTACATATTAGATTTAAAATTTATTTCTAATTCGGTGCCAAAAGGTCAAAATCATCAGTATCATAGTAACAAAGTAAAGGCTACTCGTATTTGTATTAAGGTCAGCTTGTTTTTATATAACCTTTGATATTTCTAATTCAAGACAAACAACTTCCTGTATAAAAATCGAGTAATAAATAAATTAAAACGTTACTAGTGAGTAGCCGCGACTTTGTCCACGCATAAGATAAAAAATGAGCCTATAACCCGTCTATCTCAGCTACCCTCCAGTGAAAGTCCGGTCGAATTCGGCCCAGCCGTTACGGAGATTACCCCGAACAAACGCGGCTTGCGACAGACAGACAAAAAAATTTTAAATTCGATTTATGATATCAGCAACGCAAATACACCATCTTTCCTAAATCTGGATTTTTTTTTATGATATTACAGACACTTCAATTTTATTATATGTATAGACTAACAGTGCATCCCGGCTTCACACAAGTAGTTTTTTAGCAGACTGACTAAGGAAATAGTTTTCGTCCGTATGCATTTTTATGTATGTAACAGCATAGAGTATAAGCTACTGAACCGATATTGACGAATGAGGTGTCATTAGTCTTCGGAGTATGATATCGTCAAAAAAAAAAATTTAATACTATAAAAATCGAGACACACACTATACAAAGCTGTTGATCCCTCCGCTAAAAATCATCTGTATAGAGTTCAAGTCGTTAATAATAAAGCGACATTTTTTACAGTTCGTTAAAAAATATAACCTTGTAATTGACCTTGACAGTTACGTTAAAAATATTGGAGTAATTTTTTTGTCGCAGGAAACGATAAAAAATTGTTTGTAACAATACTACGGAAAGTAAAAAAAGACTTTTTGTAAAATATTCTCCTATTTAATTTAATAAGATATTAAATAATACAGCAAAATCTATGGAAATATATTATATTTCTTAAATCAAATATTTCTTTCTCTTACGTCACAACATAACATAAATTATTTTGTAATGAAATTCGATAATCGGTAGACATATGGCAACTATTTATAGGATCATAGACAACAACACTTTTTATAACAATTTCTCATTGGTCAACATCAATCATAAACTAAACAAAAACCATAGACAACAGACAATTCAAAGTCCTTTATTACATTCCATATTTAAAATCACAGATGCCTTAGAATGCGATTGCCAACACTTGTATTGTGGGCGGGAAAACATGTCAGGTAGCTTCCATGTAAGAGCGTGCGTATCTTTTACTAAACTATCGCATAACTGTTTAGTTTCACTCTAATTTCTATGAACTTAAATGAAGGTGCCCTCAATTTTAGTTGTGCAGCTAAACAGTTGAATTTGCTGCGAAACAATCGACAAGCGCACATCAGTTGTGCGATTGCTTAGTCCAAGGCGTGCGTCCGCTCTTATTGTGCCAGGTATTGACACATGTATTCCCACTTCATTCCGTCCGCAGGAGCTTTGCCGATGATCTTATGACGTCACGCATTATATGCCAGTACTGAGCAGACTATGCAGTCGTTGTTAGAAGGGGGAGTTATCGGCAAACCTCCGCTCGGCTAATACTGCTATATCTTTGATGGCAAAGACTAAAGGAATGACAATAGACACTAGAATAAATTAGAGTGTCACAAGTCACAACAACGGAATTCTATTATAACAAATATAATAAAATAATTTGTGATTCCGAAAAATCTTGGGCGTCGCCAGATATTGGATTAGGGTGGCGATACACGATTTATATATCGATATTACATTTTTCTATTCTCAAAGGTTCTTTACCCCCACCCTTGCGACACCCATGCATCAATATATGTACTTTACAATCCAAATATTGGAACAAACGTTTGCTGGGACGAATCTCATTCACTCTACATAAAAATCAGTCGAAAATCTAGCGTCTTCGCAAAATATGATACATTGGCACAATGGGTACAATATCACAAATATTCGACAATGATTAACATGGACAGATACTTAATACTATATTACAAACTATATAACAAATGTTGGATCAAATGTTTGTCACACACCGGATGGATCTGTTATCACATTACAAAATGTTTTACAATCGAGCATTAGGGCGTAGACACACTGGGAGTAATTATTGATTATATCTAACGTTCGAATGGTTCACTAAATATCTCCTAAACCGTTTAAAAGACCTGAATAAAATTAGTCACAGTTGAAGTCTCGAAAAACAACCATTTTTTAATTCGCTACAAAGTCGCAGTCCACAGCTATCCAAATCCATAAAGAGCAATTCAAATTTTATGATGACTAACGCTCCTAAATTGCGCCAATAATAGGATTATGGTATCATTCACAAATTGATAAATAACGAAGTAACTTTTTTCACATGCTAACTAGATTATATAAAAGTCAGAAAAACCACTAGTTCAATTAAATAGACTATGAACAGAATACGCTGTTAAAAGTATCAGTATAATAAAACGATTTTATTTAAAAATGGACATCCCGGAAAGAAAAGATAATGTGGACATCCGAGGCCATATAAACATATAGTAAACAATGACAGCTACAATGAAAATCCCCTTTTATATTATGTTCCCCTAATGCAACAATCAATATAATTCGGGTATACCGTTTAAAATATAACTTTGAATAAAATCGACTATCATCGCCCAAGGTCAAATAAAACCACACTACATGATACCAACGTGGGTTTCATTGCTTATCAAAAGCTTCTACAATATTTGTAATTTCGTACATTATAAAGTGGATTTTACACTTACAAATACAATCAATAGATAAACACCAGTGTGTCAACAACTTAATAGTTCATGGTCACTCTAACTCACAACATACGATCTGATATTCTCTACCAAATATTCCGAAGTGGCGACAGCTATCACCAGACAGATATACCCACTATAATGTACCGTTTTAAGGAAGCCCCATGTTTTATCACAGAACACAGCAAGAGAAAGAAGATGGAGATAACTGTGTGGGTTCACAACCCTCCATAGAGCTGTCGCGAAGAAGAACAATCCAGATCTAAACATGGTCGCCCTTCTCACAACATCATATTCTGTACAATTTTCAAGCAAATCTTGATATACGTCAATATATCTGTTCCAGGCGATTGAAGATAGTATCATCTGTCCGGAGAACAGACCCAACACTTGAACTATCCTTTGGAAGCTTACTTTAGTCTTATAGGAAATACCAACTTCAGTCGTATGGTCCTTCTCTATATCCTCTGATGAATTTATCTCTTTAAGCTGATGGTACGGTAACGTACTTACTGGCGTGCCCTTGTATCCGCGTCTAGGAGGATTATTCTTCAAATAAAACAATATACCAGCCATCATCGCTACAACACCCAATAAATCACAAATCCCGTCGACCCAGTAACCCAATGTACCCACTTCGGACCTCTCACCCTTTATATGTTTTCTCTCTCTAGCGACATGCCCGTCTAAATCATCCAAAAACATTCTTAATTGAAAAAGTACCACCGCTAGACGACGTGCAGCTAAATTCTGATATGTTACAAGCTTCGCTCCAACACAAGCCACGAAAACATGAAAGAATGAAATCATATTGGGCGTTATAAACAGCACTGTTTCAGATATACCTAATCCTATATCCACTATAGCGCATAAAGGGCCATAAATGTAATGGTTTATATGATCAACCATCAAAGCTTTGACCGTGGGATGACATAACGGATTGATACTGCAAGGCACCCACGTGACATCTTCGTAATTCTCCAACTGTTTATATTTCTGTGTCGATGTCTCTTGCGTTGCATTTTCGGATGTCAAGTCGTATATATCTATTTTATAATTCTGTATCCTTAAAAATAGGAATGTGTCCATACAAATGCAATACAGGATTGTGATCAATAGAAGAAAGGTAAGAATTTTACTGGCTTGCGATGAAGGCCACATCATTTTGATTGAAAATAAACTATCTTGTTGCGTCAAATCCTATTCGAGGTCGATTTATCCGCACTCGAAATAAATAGAAACTATAGGGCTTCCAGCTTACGGCCGGAGCAAACGATTTGTGAAAAGCCGACGAGCACATTACATGTTCTTACAATACTTAAAACAGAGTTTTATTTTAGTAGAGGCGTGGGATACGGACGGAGCATTATAAATAAACCATACGTTGATACCACAAAAGTTTACACATAAAACTGGTCAAAGTCGATACGAGATTTCACTTCACGTTTACATCGATTCTTAAAATCGTTTCTCACATTAGCACAGTCCAAACAAGCCTTCAAGTTCCTCAATACCGCAGCACGACTACGTAAAATCGATTCACCAGTCACGGAACGGACGGATATTTTATCAAAAACAGCACGCCCAACACAATAGTTTTTAACTTCAATTATACGATTAGTATCGTGTTATTTAATTATGAATTTTAGTACTAAAGTAATAAAACTCTTGTTTCAGTGACAATGTTTACATAGTTCGATTATTTTTTGTAAATTATTTGTAACGGTTACACACGTGCGCACCGTAGCCACGCGGTTGGCGAACTGGCTCTGATTGCTGGCTGTATGTCTGGAGAGCGTTTGCCTCGCGTCGCAAGGAACGATGCAACGAACAATAGACGTTTGGCGCCAAAACAAATGTTTAAAAAGGAGTTGTGGTCTAATCTAATAAGATTTTTTCAATATCCGCATGATAATAGAAAGTAAACCAGTTTTAAGTGTAGGTCAGTATTGGCTTTTACTTATGTGTGTGTGTTAAATTTTATATTTAACATGATTGGCTAATAGGAGTTTTCTTGACTTTTTTGGGACTATATAAAATTCAATGCATATTTCCAAGGCAATGCGGAAGTTACACGAAGACAAGTATCAAAATTATGCATATATGCATATGGCATCTATTATTTTTTCTATTGCCTTATAACATAAAAAAAAACTTTAAGTCTATTTTGTAGAATTGAATATACGACATTTAAAATTACGTAACACCGATTTTTTTCACTTTAAACTCAATTTCAGCGTATGTTTATAGCTATGTGCACAAAGTTTAAATATTGCCCATAAAAGTTTTTCATAGCTGTTGTGAAACATTTTAACGATTTCCTGCGATATACCTGACCTACTGGAAACCATTCTATATTTTAGCGATAACAGTAAATAAGAAAATAAGGGCTGTAACACACCTACATTTAACTAAATAATTAAAACAGTCAGAGATGAGCGTATTCAGCTAACTGAAGTAAAATTATAAATGCGAAAGTTTAGATGGATGGGTGGATGTTTGTTAGAGTTTGTAGCATAAACGGCTGAACGGATCTCGATGTAATTTGGTATAGATGTAGAGAATAATCTGGAAGAACACATAGGCTACTCACTTTTGTTTTTTATAACTCCACGCGGACGGAGTCGCGGGCGAAAGCTAGTAGACTAAATTCGCAAAATATGATTTTTTTCCCTAGTCCATTTTATTATTTAAAAATATTAACACTGCTGTTTAAAGTTAATATAGGAAATTGTATACCATGTTTAATAAATGGTTTCCTTTGACAATAATGTTTACGTAAGTGTACCGCAACAGTACTGGGGCGTCCGTTCCGTCGTTCCAACAAAAACATCTATTGTTAACTCATCTTCGTTATTGAATTTTTTTGCTGTTGAATCCTTTATGAATGACAAAATATCCGTTATGATATATTTTTCAGTATTTCAACAACGCCCTGGGCGAAATTTCTACGCCTTTTTTACCAGCTTATGTGAGGAAGATGTATGAGACGCCCCTTCCAGTTCAACGCCCTGGTCGGTCGACCACCGCGCCCTAACCTAACTCTAGCACTGTTTATTATATTAACAGCGTAAAAATAGCTTAAGTCATTTGGAATTTTAATTTTAATCTACATTTAACAGACATTTAACATATTTTATTAACTTACTGCATTGGCACAACAACCCAAAGTGGGTTTTGGTCTCCAACGTGAAGGAGTTTCTATTTAGTTGAGAAACATTTTTTTTAAATTAAGAATATACTCATATGTTGTGAAATATAATGTTATAAAACAAAAGAATTTGTTTAATTTAAAACAATTATAACCTCAACCAGCGATGGAATTTAAAAAATATTTCTACACTAAGTAGATATTGTTATGACATTCTTTAGTCTTTTAAACATCTCTGCGCAAACTATGTGAGAAAAAATAACCTATTACCATTTATAACAATAATATTAGTCTAATAAATCATCATATACAAGAAATTTTCCGTACATGGGTACAGTGTAAGTGTAAATGAGTTCCGAACCCACTCACAGCTTTACACACTTGAACTTGAATCATTAAGAGCTTAACTAAGGCTGCTAATGACCTAATACAATCTTACTAATTTATTTTTTTTATAATATCAGATGGCAAACAAGCAAGTGGCCACCTGAATCCACAGAAATGGAAAGCGACCACTGCCCATAAACATCCGCAATTGCAGATGCGTTGCCTACCCTAGATTGACGGAGGAGATGCACATAAAGAGGACATTTCTCCTTCCTATGTGTCTCCTCCACTGTCAAAACCACTTTTCCTTTCCATCCTTTCCTCTTAAGAAAAGGGTGGAAAGGGAAAGGGACTCAAATTAAGTAATATTATAAATGCGAAACTCTAGATGGATTGGTGTGTGTTAGAGTTTGCCGGCTAAATGGCTTAACAGATCTTGTTGAAATTTGGCATAGATGTAGAGCATAATCTAGAAGAACACATAGCCCATGTGTTCTTCTAGATTATGTTCTATCTTACTTTTGTTTTTTTTTTACTTATGAGGAGGTAGAAATGAAGTATACTACAAATATGCTAGTATACAGGTTGCAGAGTGCCTAATATGTACTCCTTGTTAAATATCTGTAGAATATTAAGAGGTGTTAGACTGGGGTTGTTACTATATAAAGCAAAGCATAACTATGCAGGTAGAAACTGACCTGCGAGCTGATTTACTGATCTACTACACACATGCAAACATTAAACTGATCTGCGGGTTGTCAATTTAAGTGCATTATTACAATATTCAATAATAATTCTGTAGCAATACCAGACTAACTACTATTGGGTAGCCATTTTTAGCCAACTTCAAAAAAGGAGAGGTAGTTTAATTGTTTTTTTGCATGTCTGTACATCAATGTATGTCAGATTAACATGATTCTGTTTTGTTTGATGCAGACTGTCAATTGGCAACATTCAAAACTAAAAACTATCCACTAATTTCTTTAAAAAGTGTATTAAAAGTAAGAAATTTTCGTCTTGTATTCTGTTTTTGTTTACTGTTAAACATTTTAGGTTACTAATATTAGACAACTTATTTAATTGATACTGTCGCTTTAAACTCAGAGCAATACTTCTCGCCAGACTTAGGATGCGCGCCAAATCTATCCATGCTTCTAGTGACGTTGACAGCTGTCAGCTAGGAACGTGCCGTTTATGCCGATATTCTAGAGTCTCGCCAATTCTATAGCACGGTACTAATTTTATTCCTAACACTAATAACTTTATGACTATTTTAATCATATTATCTTAAAGTATTATGATGTAAATTGCCTATCACTAAGAGCGGGCACACACCCTGGACTAAACTATCACACAACTGTTTAGTTGCACTTTGATTCCTATGAATGCACACACTACTGGAATTTTCAGTTGTGTATTGGCTCTGAAAGGACAAGTCTCTTAGATGTCTGACAGTAGTCTGTTAAAAATAGTACCAGAGGCCTAATTTAAGTTCCTTTCTCATTACCACCCCTTTCTTATAAGAAGAGGATGCGAAGGGGAAGTGGATTTGACGGTGGAGATGCATAGGAAGGGGAAATATCCTCTTTATGTGCATCTCCTCCTCTGTCGTATAAGGGTAGGCAATGCATCTGCAATTGCAGATGTCTATGGGCAGCGTCGCTTCGCCATTTTGGCGGATTCAGGTGGCTGCTTGCTCGTTTGCCACCTTATGTTATAAAAAAAGTTGTGCAATAGTTTAATTAATATGTGCCAGTTCTAAATATAATGCATGTAAAAAAGCACTTACCTGTGGAACTTGTGTTGATTTCCCACATCCTGTTTCCCCGATCAATATTAAACTCTGATACTTTTCTAATAAGTACAATATATGGTTTCTATACTGGAACACAGGCAACTTCTGTCTTTGTGTGTTCATAGGTAAATGATGGTATCTATTATACACGAAATTACTTTTAGAATCACTGTCTACTGTTAATGCTACGTCTACACTTGGATTTAACAACGTCTCTACCACACCATCTTTATTCCTAATAGGATATAGTGTGTCGTCGCCTGAAAACAAGGGATTTATTGAAATAAAAGCTATGTAATAATATTGTTGCATAATATAACAATTATGAATGTACTTACCAGGTCTAATAAATTTTGGTTTCTGTCCAAACATTGCAAAAAACAATAGAAGTAGATTATATCAATAATAAATGTTATTGTTTATTTACACTTTGAATTGTAGGTTATTATTTTTAATTCAAATTGACAGAATCTTAAAAGTGTTACCATCAACAAAATGTTACCAGTTCAAAATGATTTTATGTTGCCATAGTAAAAAAACATTGTTAAAAAATGTGTAAAAAAAGCTTTGCGAAATAATTAAAAAACTATACTTTAATTCTAGATACATTTTATGAAGTATCTAAAGTTTAATTAATGTGAACGACACGAGTGAAGTATTACAGGACCGCGCTAATTGAAAATTTCTATTAACCGCCTTGTGACTTGTTAGAAGCGTTAGCCCCTCTTCTCAATAGAAGTTGACTTAACAGTGGTAGTGCCCGCTTTAACATCTTAGCACGAATGGGCCGGCACGCCCGGTGTAATACCACGACCACACAGAAGTCTGGCGTGAAATGGAAGCAATTCCGTGTTTCGTCTGATGAGTGTCGTACCGGAGGCCTAATTTAAGTCCTTTTCTCTTTACCACCCTTTTCTTATTAGGAGAGGTTGGGAAGAGGAAGTCGATTTGACGGTGGAGAAGATGCATAGGAAGGGTAAATATCCTCTTTATGTGCGTCTCCTCCTCCGTCGTATAAGGGTAGGCAACGCATCTGCAATTGCGGATGTCTATGGGCAGCGGTCGCTTCGCCATTTTGGCGGTTTCAGGTGGCCGCTTGCTCGTTTGCCACCTTATGTTATAAAAAAAAAAAAAAAGTTCAATGAAACTCCCGTACTTACATAAGTCAGAAAAAAAGAAAGAGAAAATGTTTAAAAGAAGATGTTTAAAAATTAAAAAGCCAACATATTTTTCTTGTCATTTATTTTATTCACCGAAATTTTGAGAATTACACCAGCGAGTATATTGAGTTGCTAGGATTTTTGTCTTTACTAAAAAGGTACTTGTTTGTTGGCGTTTTGTACAAATCAAAAATATTTTTTTCGTCTAAACTAGACGGAGTTTGTTTCGCTCTTTCAAAGTTTTCTAATTCTCCAAATTGTGTATTATTCAAAACAACTTCTATCGTTTTGTTCAACATACTTACTTCATTGACAACTGGCTCACCCTTATATTCGTTGCCTAATTCCGTTGGCGTTAATTTTGAATTTAAATCTTGTACGGTTTTTAATTGTTTATCCAATTGTGTTTCATTCACTTTTAAAACTTTAGTTTTTACTAAAGCACCATTATTAGCTACCATTTGTAGTAATTGTTGTTGACCTAATCCTTTTAAATTCGGCGAAACATCTGCTACTTTAGATAATGCTAGTAACTCTTGGTATAGTTTAGCACGATTCGATCTCAATTGTGGCTGCCTTCGAACTAAATCTCGAAGATTATTTACAAAAGAGTCATAAGGTAATCGATATTTTACATAATATACTGGTTGATATACTACTGGATGAGGTCGCTTTAATAAATAAGTTAATTCTACGACACCAGAATTATCGGATTCTGAATTCAATTTACCTTGATTAGTTTCACCAACAAACCGTTGCGAATTATCTAAATTGTAAGGTGCGTGCAATTCGTTTACATGTTTTTCATAATCAACTAATTTAGAATTAACGTAAGGGTTGCCAGTGATGTAAGGTTGGTAGAGTAAGTGTTGATTTAACAGATTTTCTTGATTTGAGATTTGATTAAAAACGTTTAAGTTTGCATGCAATTGGTTGTTTAGTCCTTTGTATGGAAATTGACGTACAGAATTACTAAGACCCGGATTTGTCGTAGGATATTGATTAATATTAGGAGTTAAGTTCGGGTTTACGTAATATGGCGTTACGTGCTCATTTCTGTTTATCAAATCTTGTGCAAATTCCTTATATTGAGATTTAGATCCTTCTGTTTTTAATACAGCTAGTAATGCATCCATTTTATCATTCGGGAGATTGTTAACATTTCCTTGTAGATACTGATTTAAAAGATTTTTCACATGACTCGCTACACTTTCCTTGTTTTGAAACTGAGTATGATCAGCCAGAAATTTGTCATTTACAAAATTGTTTTGTCCCTGTCCGTATAATTTAGTTTTTGAAGGATACACGGAGACTATTTTACCATCATTTGTGACTGTCACTAGTACATCATCTGGCTTTTCATCGATATTTAAAGCCTGATTTCTATTGTTTTCAAAAACTTGTGTATTTAGTTTGGAATTATCTGCGAAAATTTCACTTATGTTTACCTTTTGGTTAATTTCTTTTACGTTTGTAGGTGGTATAATGTTTTCTGTTATATGTAACTGATAAGGAGTACTTTTATCTGAATGATTTGTTTGTATATTATGATCAAATTTTGTAGCTTCTTTGTTAAAAGCTTGTGTTAATTTCTCAATAGATTGTGGCGTTTCTTTTGGGTTTATATCATTGAAACGTTGCTGTTTTTGTCCGTAATGTTCAAATGTTTTTAAATCTGGATTCCTTTTCAATGCCAGATATTTTAAGATTGTATTTAAATTATGTTCTGATGCTAACAACGAATCAGGTAATTTCTGATTATCCATTATATTTGGTAGATAATTGTTATTCCCTTGGTTTATATTTGTCGTGAAAACATTTTGGTTACCGATGTTTTTCATATCTAGTATGTTTTCTTTTGGGCAATTAATATCATATGGTCCACAAGAACGATAGGAATCGTGAATTAAATTTGCATTCTTCAAAACTCGTAGAATATTTGAAAGAGCTTGTTTACAATTGAATTCAGATTCATTAGGTATTTCGTAATGTACTATTACTTTTGTTTTAAAATTGCTGTTCAAATGATTGTTTTCTAGTAACTGTCTTAGCGAATTTCCTTTAATTAGGGGAAGCACATTTTGAACTTTATCTAAATTTAGTGGAGTTTCTTTATTTAAAAGCCCAATAAATTTATCTGTCACTTTTAAATTTTCTTCATCTTCATTACCCAGTAATTTCATGAGTATGTTTTGAATTTGAATCAAAACTTCATTTGCTGGACATAAAGAAGTTTCTTGTTTAAACAATGGTGCTGCTAGGTTCTGTGGAAAAAGAATACAAGTAAATATTAACTATAAAATGGTCAATAACATTAACGATGTAAGACACGTAAGGTTAACTTACTTCGGAGTTATTAAAACCGCTTTGTTCATTTCGCTCTTCAATTTTTGGTTGAAATTGTACGGGAATAATCGGATTAATCTGCAATTGTTTAAAAAAATAACTCGTAATATATCAAAAATTTTTATAATTAATATAAAATAAACTAGAATAAATCTTGAGTAACTAGGATAAAACGAGAATTGCTACATTGAAAGATGTAGTTCAAATAACGCATATTTTACCAGGACATTAATACGTAAAAGCAACGAATTACGACAACCACATTTTTTGCTTCTTGTCGTTTATTTTAAGTTTTCAAATTAACAAAAGTACTTCATATTAAAAAAAAAGACTAAATTTTGTGTATTTATTTAGGAGCCATCTTATTCTTACCTCATATTGTGAAAGTACTGGATAAGTAAAAAATAAAAACAAAAACAGTTTTAGCAACATATTCCCACTTCGGCTTCCGATCAATTAAACGTCTCGAGTAAAGTAGTCAAATTAGCAACTACTACTCAAATTAGTAACTGTGAAATTCAGTGGCTATTATTACATTAACTAGAAGTACGACATATAATTACTAGTAATAAATTAAAAGTTTAACAAATACCAATTATGGTAGTTGTAGCAATTAAAATAACAAAGCTATATAGCAAAATATGTTAATTTATACACCAAGGTGTGACTGATGAAAACTACTATACAAGTCACTCCAAAAACTCAAAGAGATAGGAAGAGATTTTAAATTTTAATTGACGCGGCCCTAGCGCCACCTATCAACGAATTCATACATCTAAGCAAGTAGTAATTTAAATCTATACATCTATACAATATAATAAAGAGGAAAGATTTGTATTTTTGGATTTTTGTATGTATTGAAATAACTCAAAAACTACTAGACCGATTTATAAAATTCTTGCACCGTTAAAAAGCTACATTATCACTGATTATCATAGGCAATATTTAGATTACTTTTTTTAATTACACGCAGGCGAAGTCGCGTATAACACTAGTTTACTATAAACAAAAACAATACAGACAACATTACTAGTGTATCATTTTAAACTATAACGAAGGATTAAAAATTACTGATTATCCCACTAATAATGTAAATGTGAAAATTTATGGTACATTTATGATTGGACGTTTGTTACGTGTCTCCAGAACGGGTCAACGGATGTGTCTGAAAGGCATAGATGTAGAACATTCTGGAAAAACAAATATACTAATTAAGATTTTTAAAACATCGTGGACGGGCTCGTGGGCGATAGTTACCTATTAATAAATATAAATAATTATCTGTCTGCTTACTTTCGCAGAGTTATAATACTGATAGAATTTTTATTGTAACTTTAATAGCCTTTATTTTAAAAAATAAACAGTACTCAATTTATTTTGAAATCGTTGAGAAAACATTGTATTCCTCTTCAATCGTCCCACGTGATTTTGAAAATAATTTTATGGGAAGCAAATTATTAGATTTTAACGTAATTTATTCCACAGATTCAATCTTACTAATATTAGAAATGCAAAAGTTTAGATGGATGGATGTTTGTTAGAGTTTGTAATCTAAACGGCTGAACGGATCTCGAAGTAATTTGGCATAGACGTAGAGGATAGTCTGGAAGAACACATAGGCTATTCACTTTTGTTTTTTAAAATTCCACGCGGACGGAGTTGCAGGCGAAAGCTAATTACACTTAATTCATTTTGCAGTTACATGTTTAATACAGTAACGTTTAGACCAGGGGTGGAAAACCGTTACGTGACATCATAACCATGAACATGCCATTTTTTCTAAAAAAATATAACCAGTACCTTCAGTATTGTACCAGTACTAATTAATCGTTAAATGGTTTTAGACTTAGTTATTTTTTCGTACTATGCTGTAACGTATGGATCACTTCACGTTCCCTTATATAATATCCAATTATCATTTTTTCGTAGTACATAATTTTGTAATCAGAGATGTGCCCAAAATGTGTTCTGCCATTGCTTTACCACCCCTATCTTTGACATATACTAATCTCGCGTATCTACTTCATACATACTTTATTTTAATTATGAACGTATAATAGGGATAAATGAAAAGCAGATACACATTATTTAATTTATTTATAGTAATTCGTTTTTCTTAGAAAGTTAACGTCACCAGTACCAGTAAGATTTTCTGTAGGTTCGAAGTTAAATGCAAATTTCACACTTGGGCCCAACGCTAGGGGTGTGCCTCGCTCCCTCATAAACTCATAATCAAATACTTTAAACTGTGTTTTTTACACTCGTACCTGATATTCCAAACTACCATAAAGATGGAATAACACAGTGCAGTATTGGAAACAATTAACAATTCTAATTTCTGTTGCGATTTTAAATCAACTTTTTTATATTCGAAGCTTTCTATGAATGTGAAAATTCACGGCAAATATCTGTTGCTCGCGTTTCGCCCTCGTGAAATGAACAAATATAGCCTATGTTACTCAATGATAACGTAGCTTTTTAATGGTTAAAGAATTTTTTAAATCGGTTCAGTAGTTTTAGAGTTATTCCAATACGTACAAAATCCAAAAATAAAAATCTTTCCTCTTTAAAATCTAACTATAATATTATAAATGCGAAAGTTTAGATGGATGGATGTTTGTTAGAGTTTGTAGCCTAAATGGCTGAACGGATCTCGATGAAATTTGGCATAGTTGTAGAGGATAGTCATAACACATAGGCTACTCACTTTCGTTTTTTTTTAATTCCACGTGGACGGAGTCGCGGGCGAAAGCTAGTATTAGTATAAATTAGATCGTGTTTTTGTGAATTTGGTAAAGAAAGCATCGAACCTGCAAATAAGAAATATAAATGTATGTCCGAAGGCAACCCGCAGTTGGCCAGCGTTGTTTATGTTCACCCAAGATAATAGTGGGGAGGTATATGACCTGACGATAGTATGCTTGCTTTTCTAGAAATTGTCTTTGAATTAATAAGAAAGGAAATTGTGTAAATAAAAAAGTATTATGTTTGATAAAAATTATTATTTCTTTTAAATTAACTTAACTGTAAATATTTATTGTGTTTATTATTGGGTTTCTGTTTTAGCAGACAAATTACTTAGTTTAGTGATATTTAATCCAGAGTCGATAACTTTTCTTTTTAATACAGTGGTAGAGCACGCTTTTACATCTTCGCACGAATGGGCCGGTCACCCGGTGTAATACCACAAACACACAGAAAACAGGCGTGAAGTGAAAGCAATTTCGCGTTTCGTTTGATGAGTGTGGTGCCGGAGGCCTAATTTGAGTCCCTTTTCCTTTCCACCCTTTTCTTAAGGGGAAAGGATGGGAAGGAAAAGTGGATTTGACGGTGGAGGAGATGCATAGGTAGGGGCCATATCCTCTTTATGTGTGTCTCCTCCTCCGTCAATTATGGGTAGGCAACGCATCTGCAATTGCGTATGTTTATGGGCAGCGGTCGCTTTCCATTTCAGTGGATTCAGGCCGCTTGCTCGTTTGCCACCTTATATTTTATAAAAAAAAAAATATTATTAATTCCATATTGTCATCTTATTCATAAGTATTTACATAAATGTTAGATAATAGTGCCTCTAAAATTTCTTTGTTAGCTGCAGCAGTACATTCTTGAACACTGATAGCTTTAATATCAGGCATAATATCGTCTTCAAGAGTTGATTTGAGGATTTTCATTATTTCGTCTTTTGAAAAATTGGCAGATTTCAAATAAGATATGATATCACGCAAATGTACTACGACTGTTGAAATTATCTGCTTCACTGTGTCCGATTGTTCACATCTCGTATGTTCTGATAATAGTCTATGTTCTAACTCGTCTAATACTAATCTAATCGGTATTCTTCTTTTATGTTTTTCTTGTTTTAATTGCTTTGCAAAAACAACAATAATATCAAACATTCTTTCTAAATCATCGTTAGAAATATCTACATCATGTCGATGTTCTTTCTTTATTTTGTTGAAGACTTTTACGATATTTTTGGATTTACTCTTCTCTTGTATGCAGGATTTTCTTTCATTTTTGGTCTCTTTTATTCTGTTACGTAGATCGGGTTCACTTTCTGTATTGTCATTCATTTTTCTACTATCTTCTTCTGATAAATCATTCGTTGGTTTGTCTCTTAAAGTATTATCTATAAGTTCGCTTAATATTTTATCAATATCTGAAGAATAATCATGTGGCGTAACGATTGTTTTGTTTTCAGTTGTCTGTAAGAGAAATAATATTAAAATGCATTATAGTTTAAAGTTATCTGAAAGGTATGAAGTAGAAAAAGACCAATAATTTTTGATGGCTTGGATTCTAAAAAAAAGTAGAGAATCACTACTAATTTTCTAATCCCTTTATAAATAAAGGCTATACATGGCTGTAACTCTTTTTCAAAGCTAGTTTTTGGCCGAAAGTGTTTGTGTTCTTTATAACTACATATAATTGGCAGCATTGATATTAAGCCTACTAATATTAAACGGATACTTACTATAATAATGTGTTCATCATTTCCTTTATTGACATCTAGTTCCAATAAATTGTTTATAAAATCGGGATTCCTCAAGGTTTTATACGATACTCCTTTATTTCGTATTAAATATTCATACCATTTAAGTATGATATATTTCTTTATTGGAGAATCTTCTTTCTTGTACATTTCGAGTAGTTTTACCATAATTCTTGTGAGATCGTTATTTATATTTTGATTATTGAAAATTATTTCTAACATATCAATGTATAAATTGATTAGAGAATTTCTGTCCATGTTTCTCATAGTTTGTATTATGTTGTTATCCTGTAGTTTCTTGATTTCCTTAGAAATTTCTAGAACGTATTGTTCTTTGTTATTTTCTTTCCCTTCGTCATTAACACCTTCGTTGACTTCGTATATAAAATTAAGAATTTCTATGATCTCTGGACTTGCACCTTTATTGATTAATTGTAAAATATATTGAGTCAGAATTTTCAAATCGTTCTGATTTAGTTTTTTAAATGTGTAAACATTAGTTTGGTTTTTGTTCGTATCGTTATCTTGTCTTTTTGGACTTAACACTTTCAATATATTCACTAAATATGGATTGGATCCGTAATCGTTGATGATTTTAACTAAATATGATTTTATTTTGTTAACATCGTTATTGTTTAAAACAACTAATGTATGTGTACTATTTAGAGGAGTAACCTTCCTATTTGTAACTTCTATTGTCTCTTTTGATATTTTACTAAAATCTAGTAATATTTTTATCAATTGTGGTGTTACACCTTGTTTTTTTATAAGATCTAATAAATATTTTATGATTTCATTTATATCGTCGACTTTTATTGTTGGAACCATATTCGTATTATTTATTAGGTTGATCCAATCATTTTCTGTATTCGGTCTCTCTTTAATGTTGTTTATTTTGTATATTATTTGCATTATATTAGGATTTTCACCATAAAGTTTTATTAATTCCAATAGATATTTATTAAAAACATCTAAATCATGGCTTGTAACATTCACAATTAAGGTATCATTTGAAGGTTTGTTGATAGTTTCCTTCTTATCTTTTATTGTTTTATTAACATGAGGCAATAATATTTCGACGAGATAAACTGGTTTAAATTTGTGAATTAACATTTGTAAATATTTTTCCAGTACATTTAAATCTTCTAGTCTGAGGTTTGCTATAGCTTCATTTAGAACTAAATCAAAATCTGAATAACTATCCACTTGATTTAAGCCATTGAGTCCATTCTTCAATAAATATTCAAGTATAAACTTTACATCTGGACTATTGTTTTTGTTATTAATAATATCTAAGACATAGGTTTTAAATAATTTGGATTCCGTTGCTTTTTCTTGTTCTTCTTTTATTACTGTCTTAGTTTTTATTATCTTTTCAATAATCTTCATAATATCGACATCTTCGAGTCCGTTAATTAGAGATAAAGCTTTTTCTAATATTTCTAGATCATTTTCATCTACATTCTTATCGTATCTTTGTTTGTCATCATTTTCGGGAAAACCTAGTATTCGGTTAATTTCAAGTATTATTTCTAAAATTATAGAGTTTCCATCACCTTCTTTGACCAAAATTAGCAAATAGTTTCTTAGTCTGTTTAAAGATTCTTTTGGTGTTTTAGATAATAATTCTATTATCTGTTTATATTGTTCCACATTCTTTGTGTAATATTCCAATAAATCAATGCTTAGAGTGTTGTCATTTATAATTCTTTGTAAATATAGGTAAATCTCTTCTAAATCGTTTGGATTAATTTGTTTGGGTACACTTTCATTTAAATTGATAACTTTAATTTTGAGTTCACCGTTTGGTAACTGAATTCTTTTTAAAACTTCTAATAATTCAACTAACATTGTCGATGGGTTGCCAGTTTTAATTTTATGTAATAAGAACTTATAAATAATATCTAAATTAATTTGATTATCTCCGAAATATTCCTTTAAAACATGTAGATCTACCTTTGTTCCGTTGTCATGTTTTGTAACATTCGTAGCTTGTTCCAAATAATGTAATATTTTAATGAATATGGGATTTTCTTTGTCGTTTTCTTGAGATATGAGGAATTTGTAAATATTTAGTAAATCCATGGCTCTGAATTTGTAAATAACAACTTCATTTGGATGTTCTTTTCCTAGTTGTACAAGTGGTCGTATTTCATTAATAAATAGGGCAGCATAAGGACTGTTTAAAAACTTTTCTTTGCTTAATAAATATTGATAAATCACTTCCAATTCATGAACATTTACGGAAACCCATTGACCATTAGAATCTTGTTTGTTATGTTTGACATTTTCTTTATTATCTTGTACATAATCAAGTATTTTAATAAGATCACTGTTTTTACCATAAATGTTAATTTCGGTGAAATATTTTATTAGTAGTTCCAAGTCTTTTTCGTTCACTTGATAATCTGTACCGTTCAAAATTTGAGGTTGCTTATCACTCTCTGGAACACCTATTATATGATTTATCTCATGTAATATATCAACAACAAATGGATTTTCACCCAATTCTTTTATAAGAACTAATAGAAAGTTTCGAATTCTAATCAAAGATTCAGGATTAACATCAATTAAAATGTTATGCATATCTTTTTGTTTCTGTTTGTATTTTTTAATATAATCTAGAAATTCAATACTTAATATCTCGTTTTCTATGAGTTTTTGTAAATAGAAATAAAGCCTCTGCAAGTCATTTGGATGGATATTGGGATCAGTGCCATTTATATGGATAAATTGAACTTTAAGTTGACCGTTCGGTAATAATAGAGTTCTCTTTATAAGTTGCAATAACTGTACTAGCACTTTGCTATGACTTCCTGATTCAATTTCATGTGAAAGGAACTTATAAAGGATTTCTAAATCTATTCTTTTATCTTCAAAAAATTCATTTAATATATCAAAATCAACATCTGGCGTCACTCCATTCTCTGTTTTAGTATCATCTGTGAAATCATCCAGATATTCCAAAACCATTATGTAAACAGGATTTTCTTTGTCTTTCTCGTGTGATATAACTGTTTTATAGAGGTTCAACAGATCTTTATATTTAAATTTATAAAGTAAATTTTCATATGTGCGTTGTTTAGCTTTATGTATAAATGGTAATATTTCATTAACAAATAGTACTGAATATGGACTATTTATGAATGACTCTTTACCTAATAGGTATTGATATAATTCTTGTAGTTCTTCAGCATTAAAGTATACCCATTGTTGATTAAATTCGTCCTCTTCCTTTTTATTGTTTACTTCAGTTTCGTGTAGGAATTCTAGAATTTTTATAACATCCGTGGTTTTATTAGATGAATTAATTAAAGTAAAATACTCTATCAATAATTTTAAGTCTTCTTCTTTAACTTCAGGTTTTGTACCATTTAATAAATACAATTGGTCATTTTTACTTTCAGGAATTCCTAAAATTATATTAACTTCAGATAATACTTCAGCAATGTATGGATTTTCACCTAGTTCTTTCATTAAAATGAGTAAAAAGTTCCTTATTCTATTCAACGATACTTTAGAAGCATTGGATAATAATTCAAAAATTTTTCTATAGGTTTTGGTGTAATCCAATAATTTAATTCTTGTAACATCATCTTCCATTAGTTTTTGCAGATAGAAATAAAGTTTTTGTAAATCTCTCAAAGTTATTTGACCAGTGAGTTCAGGTTGATTGAAGTAAATAATTTTTATTTTTAGTAAACCGTTTGGTAGCAGTAGTGTATTTTTCATAAATTGTAAAAGCTCAGTTAATACTGCATTTGTATTACCAGAATTAATTTCATGTACCAAAAACTTATAAACAATATCTAAATTAACTTGATCCTCTCCAAAATATTCATGCAACACGTGTAAATCAACATTTTGTGTTCCATTATTGTTTTTATCTTTGTATTGGTCCAAATATTTCAGAATCTTCTTGTATATAGGATTTTCTTTGTCTCTCTCTTGTGAGACGATTAGATTGAAAATTGTCTGTAGATCTATATGTTTAATCTTTTTAGCTAAATTTTCATACGGATTTAGTTCTCCTTGTTGTATTAATGGTAGAATTTCGTTGATAAATATCACTAAATAAGGACTATTGATGAATTTCTCTTTCCCTAATAAGTATTCATAAATTTCTTTCAGGTCGTTTACGTTTATATAGATCAATTTATCTTTTGTATTATTTTCTGCGTATATTCTATTTTGAGTTTCATATAAGTAGGTAAATATGGTAATAAGATCACTGTTATCTCCAGATTCATTTATTTCAGTGAAGTATTTTATAAGTAATTCTATTCCAACTTCGTTTATTTCATATTCTGTTCCGTTCAATGCACGTTCATGTTTATCATAACTTCTGGGAATACCCAATATACTATTTATCTCAAAGAATATATCGAGAATAAATTGATTTTCTCCTATATCATTGAGCAATATCAGTAAATAGTTTCGTATTCTAATCAAAGTATCTTTAGGAACGTCGGAGAATATTTCTAGTATCAATTTTTCTTTCTGCTTCTGTTTTTCCATATATTCTAATAATTTAACGCTAAAAACGTCGTGTTCTATTAGTTTTTGCAAAAACAAATATAGTATTTGTAAATCCTTTGCTTGGATTACATCAAGAGGTTTTGTGTCATCCAAATTGATTGTTTTAATTAAAAGCTGACCGTTTGGTAAAATGAAAGTTTTCTTTATAAATTGTAACAATTCAAATATCAAATCATCTGGTTTACCGGATTCAACTTCGTGTGTTAGGAATTTATAGAGTAGATCCAAATTTATTTGATCGCCGAAATATTCTTTTAAGATATATAAATCAACATTTGGTATTGTTCCATTGTTTGTTTTCGTATCGTCGGTATCGATGTTTAAATAATTCAATATCTTAATGTATACAGGATTTTCTTTATCTCTCTCATCTGATAGAATTAAATTATAAAGTTGCAGTAAATCCTCGTATTTGAATTTGTAATTTATTTTCTCATATGGGTTTTGTTTTCCTCGTTGTATTAGTGGTAATATTTCATTAACGAAGAGAACTAAATAAGGACTATGTAGGAACTTTTCTTTGCCTAGTAAGTATTGATATATTTCTTCTAGATCTTGTACATTTATGTTAACCCAATCTTTAGTGTGTACTTTTTCGATATTATCTTTAATATCTTGTAAGTATTCAAGAATATTAATTATGGCGTTATTGTTGTCGGTTAAATTAACTACTGAAAAATATTTAATCAATAAAGCCAAGTCCTCTTCATTTACTTCTGGGTAGTTATTGTTTAGTATGTACTTGTCATTATCAGGAATTTCTAGTATACTATTAATTTCTATTATAAGTTCAAGAATGTACGGATTTTCTCCATGTTCTTTGATTAACACCAATAAAAAGTTTCTTAGTCTATTCAATGATTCTTTTGTTGCGTTATAAAATATTTCTACATCAAGTTTGTGTTTTTTATTTTCTCTTCTGTAGAATTCTAATAAATCGACGCTTATAAGATTATCTTCTATAAGTTTTTGTAAATATAAATAAAGTTTTTGTAAATCGTTCGAATCGATTTCATAAGGTTGTGTTTCATTCAAATTGATGTAATTAATTTTAAGTTTTCCGTTCGGTAATAACAATGTTGTCTTTAAAAGTTGTAATAATTCAAGTAACACTTCGTTTTGATTGCCTTTTTCAATTTGGTATAGTACATATTTATAAATAATGTTCAAATTAATTTGATTATCACCGAAATATTCTTTTAATAGATGTAAATCAGCATTTGGTATTGTTTCGTTACGATGTTTTGGAATATCTTTACCATCGCCTTGATCCAAATAATGTAATATCAAAACGTTTATTGGATTTTTTTTGTCTTCCACATAAAGATGTATATTATTATAAAGTTTCTGTAAATCTGAATATCTAAATTTATAAGTTATGTTTGCATGTGGATTTAATTTAGCTTGTTGAATGATTTGTATTATTTCGTTAACAAACATTATTATATATGGATTGTTTTTAAACTTTGCATTGCTCATTAAATATTGGTACATAAGTTCCAAATCTTGAACTTTGATGTTAATCCATTTTTCATTATCTTCTATTGGAGGTAACTCTTCATCTTTTCTCAAGTTATTTAATTCATATAAAACTTTGATTAACAATTGATCGTATATATACATTTGATGTTGAAGTAAATAATCTTTTAATGCTTTCAAATCTTTAATAATTTTATCTCTATCATTTAATTTTACTGTTTTTATATTTATCAATCGATTTATTATCACAGTTATTTCTGGTTTTAGACCATTTATGTTATTAATGTCTGTTAGTATTTTATAAAGTCCTGTTAGATCTAATCCTTTGATTTCGTTATGAACATCTTTGATCACTTTTATTTCGGTCGGTGTCTCTAAAGTTTGTAGTTTATTCAGATAAATTAATAATTCCTTTAGATAAGTATGATCCCCTCTTTGTCTTTGTATCTGTGATATATATTTTGCTAAAAGATATAAGTCATTTTGACTCAAATAATACAAATTCTGATAATCATTTAAATCTAATTTTGGTAATACAATTAAGCCGTAACGATTGTCGTATATTCTATTGATGTTTTGTAATATTTGTTGTATATTTTTATTATTCCTGTATATTTGAGTTAAATGTAAATATATTTTTCTCATGTATTCTGTATTTAAATTGCGCGAAGGATCAAGATCGCCAAAATCAAAGTAATATAAAATATTCCCTTTCGTTTCATATTGTAAACCTCCAATATTTCTTACGAATGGAGAAATGTAAGGACTCTTTCCGTATTCATTTAACAGATATTGTAAATGTGCTTTTAATTGATCGGATTCAACTTTATTTAAACCATAAACAGCTTGTTGATTGCTCAGAATCTTGAAGACCAAGTAAACTTCATTCCTCGGTCTCCCTTCAAGAAGGTTAACATATTCCAAAAGTTTAAAAACAAATGGAGTCATTCCGTATTTGTTTAATATCAAAATAACGTATCTTTTTAAATGTATCAAATCACTTTTATCAATCTTCACCATTTGTGAACTATCGAAATTGTTAATTTCAGCTAAATTCAAATCATTAGCGCTTTTCAAAATTTGAATTACATTTCGATTGACGTAATTATCTGCGGTCATTAAATTTATTACATAATCTGTGACTTGTTTGTAATCATTCAAATGGTTTTGTGCTTTCACGTGATTTGTATAATCAAAGAAGTTATTGTTAAACTTGATATATCTGTTTCCTGGATAATAATTGAAGTACATTTTAATGGGGTTTGTAAAATCCATATAAGGCTGTTCATATACATAATAAGGTAAAGAAGATATATGAATTTTCGGATTATTTAAATAATCATATGATTGATGCGGGATTTTTATAGCATTATTATTTGTAACAACAGTATATCCAGCTCTTGTGCCTGCGACATTAACAGCTTGTAAATCCTGTAGATTTTCATCGTTGAGATTTATCACTTGACTGCTAACAGGATGACGTATTACATAAGTTACTTTTTTAACGTAATTCCGCCTACCGTCACTTAATCCATTATGGTTTTCTTCGTCTATGGATTCTGGGTCTCTATTAAAACTTCTTCTTCCATTTGGTATATCATCATGTGATAGAAACTTTTCAACTGCTGTCAAATTAAGTCTTTGACTATATTCGGGGCTTTTTAATTTCTTAACGAGTGCTTTTTGTAATTTCGTTGCTAAATTCTCATGTATTGTCTGCAATCGAGTGCGTTTTTGGTAATCATCGTTTAAGTTTTTTAAATAATCATCTTGTATGTTTATTTCTTCGTTTCTTAATTTGGAATCATTTTCATCGCTGGCAATTGTTTCCGGTAAAGGAAAGTCATCTAAAACTTCTTCGCTCTCTGATGTTTTCTAGAAATATAATATTTACTAAAGTTTTTTAAAATTGTGATTACTTGATTATTGAATTATTTTATATTAAAATTAATTACGATTAATATTAATGAGTGCAGGTTATAAAACTTTATCCATTCAGTGTAGGTTTTTAAAAAACTTTGGTTAAAATTTCACAAATCTTCAACAAAATAAATAACTAATTATATTAAAAAAATATCAAGATATAAATATAAAATTATCATCTCAACAAATATACTAAAATATTCTCGTTTTAATTACCAAACAAATCATACTTAATATTTATTTTATTAACGATTAGTTGTAAACCTAATTTCATAAATACAATTTATTACTTCGACTACATTTTAATATACATAAAAAAATATAATTTGTACTCATTAGAAAGAGTTTAACCATTCAATTTTAGGTTAAATAATAATAAAAATACTCGTAAATAATACAAATAATACTAATACTTAAAATGAATACTCACAACCGTAGATATGACACAGGTAAATAAAACTGAAACAGTAAACCTCCATAGAGTCTTCATGCTTACTACAGACTTCAACTAACATCTCTATATAGCCTTGGATGCGTTACTAATCGATTACTAAAATATAATAAGTTTCTCACGGGCGTATAATTACGCATATTATATACACTAAAAATGTTTTGTCGCGATCAACAAACTGTAACGGAGAACAAAGTTACGGAAATGGATACACGTTTTTTTACTCTAACCTTTTAACCTAACTATAAAAACTTTTTGCGTAGATTTAAAAAAAAGAAAGCCCACGTGTTCGTAGGACAGAGGTGGCGAATCACTGGCATGTGTGTTGTAATAGCACATGACATAATATTTTATGTCGATAATAATAAAAACACTACGAAAAATTGTGAAGTAGATGCACTTTGGAATTGATAAAGGTAGAGGCCGCTGTAACATCACACGACCACACAGAAGACAGGCGTGAAGTGGAAGCAATTCCGCGTTTCGTCCTATAAGTGTTGTGCCGGAGGCTCAACTTTAGTCCCTTTTCCTTTCTACCCTTTTTCGTATAAGAATAGAATGGAAAGGGAAAGTGGATTTGACGGTGGAAGAGACGTAGGAAGGGGAAATATCCGCTTTATGTGCGTCTGCTCCTCCGTCAATAAGTGTAGGCAACCGCTATTGAGAACGTCTATATGTAGCGGTCGTTCTGCCAATTTGGCGAATTCAGATGACGGCTTGCTCGTTCGCCACAAAAAAATGACGCAATAATCGCAGTCTAAATTATTCGATGGCACGTGTAAGACTGCATTAAACATTTCTTTTAAAAATGGCACTTTGATGCATAAATGTTCGCCATCCCTGGCCTACACTATCTTCTACATCTATGCCAAATTTAATCGAAATGCGTTCAGCAGTTTAGGCTACATATTTTCTTAAAATAAACGATTTAAAGCAGTCACCGTTGTTAAGACTTGAAGCTAGTTAAAACTAGTCTTGGAATTATGTAGAGTACCAATTTAGTAATTCAACGTGTCTGAACAACGGAAATTTAATTAGTAGATTTAATCTAATATTAATTTATTTATCGCCTGATTAGAAAAATAATAGCCATTGCTATAATACGGAAAGATATTGAACTAGTCTCCTTAATTAGAATTAATATATACTATTATAATAAAGCGTAAACACACACTTCTTTGTTGCCTGAGATGTCAGCAATTACAGGATATTTTTGAATGATTGCTTTTTTAATAAAAAGCCCTATAGTTATGTCACGCTTTAGGCTATATATTTTCACGCCATTCATTTTAGGGGGTAAATATTTTGGATAAAAACCCTAATTTTTAGAGAGAGACCATAAGTTGCTGCCAACATTAAGGAAGCAAGGTTGCCATGGTTTGTCATCGTCATGTCATTTTGACATTTGCAATTGATAATTTGACACTTGTAAAGAATAAAAAAAAAATCATAATTATATGCGGACGAAGTCGCACGGAACAGCTAGTTTATAATAATAAAAAAGTCAATTTGTGATCACCCAGGAGAAAAATTATAAAAAAATATTATAGTTTAACGTTTAGTTCGTCACATATAGTTTCAGTAGTAATATTATCCAAAATAAATGATTAATTTTTCTATCTTACTAATATAACAAATGAAAAAATTTGAATGGATGTCTGTTAGAGTAGCCTAAACTGCTGAACGAATCTCGATGAAATTTGACATAGATGTAGAGGATAGTCTGGAAGAACACATAGGTTACTTTTATTAATTTAGTTTTTTAAAGTTTACTCGACCATTCTGCAACGGTTCAACATATCTTAATGAAATTTAGCACAGATGTAAAACAAAGTCTGGAATACATAGGCTACTTGCTTTCGTATTTTTTAATTCCGCGTGGACGGTGTCGCGGGCGATAGCTAGTCGTATATAAAAGTATATTTTGTCTTTTCTTTAATTTATAGGATAAATCCGAATTATAAAAATTTATTGATGAAAAATAAAACTATATTGCTAAGGTTTTGAAAGATGTTTATTTTGTTTTAGTTCGACAAACTTTCTCCTGCCTCACATTTTGAAAACGTTTCACCAGTTCACGACTTTCTTATCCAAAAAATAAATAAAACGATTACATAAAAGTCTTTATATCCAAAATAAAGAAATGAAAATGTTATCTTAATAAAATCAATGCAAATTTAAAGGTTTTAATTAATTGGAGTCGTTAATTAGTTAATTAGTCACTTTAATGAAAAATACACTAGCTATTCCCATGCGACTTCATCCGCAAATTATGAAAATTTTAATTTTTTTTGTTTACATGTGTACAATTATCAACAGCAAATGTCAAAATTACATGACATGACAAACCATGACAATCTTGCTTCCTTGATGTTGGCAGCAACTTATGGTCTCTTTCCCACATTAGGGTTATTTATCCAAAATATTTATCCCCTAAGTTAAATGGCGTGAAAATAAAGCCTAAAGCGTGACGTATGTTATAAAAAGGAGTTATTCAAAAATATACTGTAATTGCTGACATCTTAGGCAACAAAGAAGTGTCTGTTTACGCTTTATTATAATAGTATAGATTAAATTGAAGTGGGAAATAACCAATTCGAAAGCAGACATTTAGAGATATTTCTTACCTAACAATCCGTAATTCTCCGATATTCCATGATTCAATTAGTCAAAATTTCATAAACATCAAGTAATTCTATCCAATATCCATCAGGGTCCGCGATAAAAGCGAGACCTTTGGCGGAAAATTCCTCAGGACGACGCACGAACTTCACTCCCAACTCATCGAATCTGAAATAAAGTATTCAATATTATAAATGTTCCAATTAAAACTCTTATTACATAGGTAAGGGCCTGTCCCACCAAGTTGTAAATTGATAACAATCCAACGTGTAAAATGTGATGGAGATATCGGATTTTATTACCTTATCTGACTGTGACGTCATTTTAAACACTGAGCCTCTATCAGCCAGTGGTAGGACAGGCCCTAAAACTCGTAATTTATTATGTTTCTGATGCAGACAAAATGCACATTAAAAATCTATGTTATAAAGGCTTTATCCCTCAGGCTAGAATTTTTTTATTCTTGGTTAAGAATTAAGAAAACATAACAAATCTAAAAAGGTTGGAAGAAGAAACCTAACAGTAGGAGACATGTAGGAAGGGGAAATATCCTATATCTGTAAATTCAACAAAACAACGCATTTATTCGCTGTTTCGGCGAATTTAGATGGCCCCTTGCTCGTGTCATCTTGTTACTTAAGAGATACATACACAAGTCTAAGCATAAGTTAAGTGATAAAGTAAACTTACTTAGCGCAAGCTTCTTTAAGACTGGGAACAGTAATTCCGATATGTCCAAAGCCTTGAGGCTCCGTGTTGCCATGGTGATAACTAGAATCGTCGTTCTCGGTGCCCCAATTACTGGAATTATACACGAAAATAACTTATTAGCAACTATAGCCCGTGACTACGTATCTGCGGAATAAAAATTAAAATTTAATTAATAGGCTATATAGAAAAAAGATTTGTATTTTTGTATGTATAGAAATAATTTAAAAACTACTGGGCCGATTTAAAAATTCTTTCACCGTTAGAAAAGCAATTTATCTGTGAGTAACATAGGTTATTTTTATATTTTCACGCGGACGAAGTTGCGAGCTACAGCTAGTAATATTATAAAGCGGGAAGATGTAACAATCAATTGTTACATTTTAATAGGCTCCAAAACTACTCAACTTAATTTAAAAATTTACCATTAGAAAGCTACATTATCACCGAGGCTACATTTTTTGCGTTTTTTATATTAATTCCACAAGAAGTCGCCAAAAAAAAAACTAGTTTGAAAGCGAGTTTAAAGTTTAAAGTGGGGGGGGGGGGGTTAAAGTTTGTATGGATAAAACTTACTGTGTTAATTCCAATATTCCTTTCCTGGACATCATCCAAATAATTCTTTCCTTGGAATCTTTTGGTATATCCTCGGGGTTTTCATGTCCGAGGAAGAAAATGGAGTATTTCCTTCCGGGAACGTGTATCTGTTCTAGTAATGTCATTCCCAGGATTTCAGTGTAGAAGGGTAAAGACTTTCTAGGGTCCTTTATACGGTACATTGTTTGTTGACACATGAAACCCTAGAATAAAAGACAGAAGACAGTTGTCTCACGGTTCACAATCATTTCATTTCATCACCAGCTCACTATACGTCCCCACCGAGGGGCTCGGAACCTACCCTAAAGTTAGGGTGACTAGGCCATAGTCAAACCAAGCTGGCAAAGTGCGGGTTGGTTGACTTCACATATATCTTTGAATTTCTTCTCCGATATGTGCAGGTTGCATCACGATGTTTTCCTTCACCGTAAGAACGTCGGGTAAATTATGTACATATAAAAATTCGAAAAATCGAAAATCACATTGGTACATGGCGGCGGGATTCGAACCCAAGACCTGTAGATTACAAGTCAAGTGATTAAACCACTGAGCCACCGACGCTCTTACGACGGGTTACAATACTGATGTGAAAATATGTTTATTTACACAGGAACCTCTAAAATTATCAGTATTTCTTTACTATATTTATATTTACTTCCTTTTGAATTAATCTATTAAAACTGCATCTAATTCGTTCCTTAGTTTTAAAGATCTAAACATAGGGACAGACAGCGGGGAGTGATTTGACCGACTTCCCAAAAGTACAGTGACATCAAAGTAATAATAATTACACAATACTCCTACTTATTACAGTGATACTCGTACCTCAATTATTTCTTTACTTTTTAGTGTATTTCATTTTTGAGAATATTTTGTTTCTATATTGTTTGGAAGTCGGTTTGGTTTTTTTTATTTTATTTAGTAATTTGAAATCATTATTCGATAGTAAATTGTTTAAAATAATTATCATTCTGATTTGCTCGAAAAAGTGTCAAACAAATTACATCATATTTTATTATTGTGTAATAATAAAATGTACATTCATTCTCCTCAGCGAATGACAGTAAGACCGTACGTCTTTGATTGAACTATCGGACAACTGTTTAGTCGCACTTTGATTCCCATTAGCTTATATGGAGGTGGGCATACTACTCGATTATTCGTTATGCAACAAAACAATCGACAATCGGACAACAGTCGTGCGATAGTTTAGTCAAAGATCTGCGCACCCTTTTTTGTATTTCATATATCTTACCTTGGTAAACGAGTGTGGAGGTTTACATAACGCTTCAACTTCTTGCGATGGGATACCTTCGTTAGCCATTGTGCGACTGAAATAAAAAAATAAACAAAGTATAAAAAAATATTCATCCCCTTAATTTTGTTATAAAACCCTATATTAATATATATGAAACTAATTTCGATTAAAACGCCACCAGGAGAAAAAAATAATCTTCGACTATTTGTAATTTAAAAAAAAAATGTTGTAAATTAAAACTAAAGTAAAATAAATATACTAACAAAGTTCGTATAATTCTTGAAAAATAACGGCCAGATATCATTTTGGTGAACCCTTTGAAGTTAAAAAAAAAGAAAAATAACGTCACAGATCTTCAAAATCACTACAATCCTCGATGTTTACTCTTAAAATTAAAACAAAATAAAATATCTTACCTGAATAGTAGTCACTCACTTGATATATCGTAAACAAATAAAATTTTATCAGCAAAATTGTACTAAAGTACAAAAAAATCAGCTCGTAATGCTTGTTGTAAAAAATCAAGTCATGTTTCATGTTGATATTTTTATCATTTGAAAAAATGACGAGTAATAACATTACATTTAAACTGTTATCGTTAGGATGGGTTTTCATTGACGTAACATTGATCCGAAGATAAATTATCATATTAATGTTATAAATGCGAAAGTTTAGATGGATGGATGTTTGTTAGAGTTTGTAGCCGACTGAACGGATTTAGTTGAAATTTAGTACAGATGTGGAGGATAGTCTGGAAGAACACATAGGCTATTCATTTTTGTTTTTTTTTTAATTCCACGCGGACGGAGTCGCGGGCGAAAGCTAGTTCATTAATAAAATATAAATTTTACGTAATGTGACAGGGGAGGGGACATATTTATTTTCCCTTCCATATTCATAAGAAATCACATCTACAACTTGTTTAAATGCCACACTTTGCCATTTTAGCGAATTAATTTGGGTGATTATTTAGTATTTTACTGTACTGTGTACATATTTATGCAACTAAGTGTACATCCACTAAAACTGTTCAAGAACTTTATTTGTTTTTATGTTTTAAGTTTGTAAATTTAAATGCCAAACTCAGATGTTGGCGTTTTCTGTACGTATTTTACAAATACAAGATGTATTTACTAATCTTACTGTCATAAATGTAAAAGTTTGGATGGATATACAGTGGTAGAGCCCGCTTTAACATCTTCGCACTCCTCGGCTCGCCCGGTGTAGTACCACGGCCACACAGAAAACAGGCGTGAAGTGGAGGCAATTCCGCGTTTCGTCTGATGAGTGTGGTGCCGGAGGCCTCATTTTAGTCCCTTTCCCTTTCCACCCTTTTATTTAGAGGAAAGGAAAAGTGTATTTGACGATGGAGGAGACGCATAGGAAGGGGAAATGTCTTTATGTGCGTCTCCTCCTCCGTCAATGAAAGGTAGGCAACGCATCTGCAATTGCGGATGTCTATGGGCAGAGTCGCTTTCCATTTAGGTGGATTCAGGTGTCCGCTTGCTCGTTTGCCACCTTATATTATTAAAAAAGATGTTAAAGCGGACTCTTCCACTGTTATAAAATAAAACACAAACATGATTCAACAATTTATTTATTCATATTTCTATACAAATTGCACTCAGTTTAACAAATTATAAAATCAAATCTTTGATTATAATAAAATCACATTTCTTAAAGGACATTTTAATATACTTATAATAGAAAGTTACAAAATTTGTAAATTAACTATTGCAGAGCACTGATTAAATTATAAGCGTCGGTGGCTCAGTGGTTTAAACACTTGACTTGTAATCTACAGGTCTTGGGTTCGAATCCCGCTGTACCAATGTGATTTTCGATTTTCCGAATTTTCATATGTACATAATTTACCCGACGTTCTTACGGTGAAGGAAAACATCGTGATGCACATATCGGTGAAGAAATTCAAAGATATGTGTGAAGTCAACCAACCCGCAGTACAGCGTGGTTGACTATGCCCTAGTCACCCTTACTTAGGGTAGGCTCCGAGCCCCTCGGTGGGGACGTATAGTGAGCTGGTGATGATGATGTCTAAATTATTACAAAGAAAATTTTAAGAAAGAACCAAGGGCTAGTATCTAAACTAAGCTAATTCCACTTCAAGTGAAATAAAAATTGATTATTGTTACTAATGAAAAAATAAATAATTTACATCAACAGATTAGAATAACTAGAAACTAGTTTTAGATTTATTTTAAATCTTCAACTACTCTAATATTTAAATACAAGTAAAAAACATATTTAATAATAATTATTTAACAATTCAAACTGATTAAGAAACTAAGAAAGTGAGGGCGCCACTATCGCCTTTTATATAGCAACACTAACACAAAACTATTGAAACTTCAATATTTCAGATTTACTTTTAGAAATACCTTTAAATACATTTTCCAAGCAAATTTTCTTTCTCCTTTCTGAATAATTTTCAAATTAAAAGTAACTATTTAACAAGAATTTGACAACTTGACAAACTGTCAATTCAAAATTGTCAATTTTAAACACTATAAAAACTTTTGTTCACTTTACTCTACCATGTATTGAACTGTTATTTTAAAAAATAATTAAAATGTTACTAGCCTTTAAGTTGTTCATATTTATAGCCTTGCTTTACTTAAGTTAACTTAAGTGTTTTATACCACATCGGCCTTGAATATCTCAATCCAGTAGCCATCGGGGTCCTGAATGAAAGCGAGGCCCTTCATCTTACCATCTTGAGGTCGTTTGATGAACTTCACACCTTGCTGTTCAAATCTGAAATAAATAAATTTAGAATTACTGTTTGTATGTTCACATTAAAAAAATAATAAAAAACACCGCCTTTGTTACTATTATACCTTTTTAATGGTGGAAGAATTTTTAAAATCGGCCCAGTATTTTTTGAGTTATTTCAATATATACAAAAATACAAATCTTTCTTGTTTATATTAGTTCAAATAATTATGAAATTTTCAGTTGCAAATCCACAAATGACAACAAAAGCCTTTGATATTGGATAACAATAACCGTAACTATGACAACCTTGCTTTCTTAATGTTGGCTGTTTGTAGTTTCTTGTCCCTTTCCCACATTAAGGTATTTTTCCAATTTTTTACCCCTTAAGTTTAATAGCGTGAAAATATTTAGCCTAAAGCGTGTCGTAAGTGTAAGGCTTTTCATTAATCATTAGAAAACGGGCTTTCGACCGCGACTCCGTCCGCGTGGAATTAAAAAAATCAAAAGTGAGTAGTCTATCTGTTCTTCCAGACTATCCTCTACATCTATACCAAATTTCATCGACTCCGTTCAGCCGTTTGGGCTGCAAACTCTAACAAACATTCATCCATCCATTCATTCATCCATCCATCCATCCATCCATCCATCCATCCATCCATCCATCCATCCATCCATCGTAACCTAAACGGCTGAACGGATCTGGATGAAATTTGGCATAGATGTAGAGCAGAGCATGGAAGAAGACATAGGCTACTTACTTTTGTTTTTTTTTTAATACACAGCTAGTACTAATATAAAGAAAATAGATTTACATTTTCGGGTTTTTGTATGTATTTGAATCACGTAAAAACTACTGGGCCGATTCCAAAAATTCTTTCACAGTTAGAAAGGTAATTTATTTGTGAGTAACATAGGCTATATTTTTTAATTTCACGCGGGCGAAGTCGCAAGAATTAGATAGTATTGTAAAATAAGTATGTTACCTGGCACAGGCTTCATCAACATCAGGCACCAGGATACCAATGTGTCCGAACCCTCGAGGATCAGAGTTGCCGTTATGGTAACAAGAGTCATCACTTTCTGTGCCCCAGTTACTGAAATACATATTTTCATCCATACATAGATGTTCTAACTAAATTAACAGCTTTAAGATTTACTAACAAATAATTATGTAGTATAATGTCTCACGAAAGTTTTAATAAGTTAAAAATGTGATAGTTTAGATGGATGGTTTGTTAGGGTTTTTTGCCTACTGACGAAATGTTTTCAATGAAATTTGGCATAAATGTAGATACTGTGGAGGACAGATAATTTAAACTCCACCAATAGTGTCCCGAGATACATTAATTTTGTTTTTTCATGTTTACTCAATTGCAATGATTCATGCCTTATTAAAATTTGGCATTGACATAGAAAAAAGTCTGGAGTAACATATAGGTTAGTAGATACATAATTTTTGTGTTTTTTTATGCCTTGCTGACGACGTTACGGACAACAGGTAAGTAAATATATAAAAACCAGCTTTTCTCTACAACATAGACTGCGCGAAATTAAAAAAAGAAATTGACTATGTCCTATTGCTGTGTCAAATTTTATCAGGGTCTGTTCTGGAACTATTTTCTAACAATCATCCATCTAAGTTTTCGCATATAAGTGAGAAGTAAATAAAACTGACTTAAGTAACATATATGTTTGATTATATCTTACTATGTTAGCTCCAGCGTAGCTTTCCTCGTCATAGCCCAGGTTGTCCTAGCTTTGTCGTCCTTAGGCACTTCAGCCGGGTTCTCATACCCCATGAAGAATAGAGAGAATTTCATCTCAGGGAAATGTAGTTGTTTTAACAAAGTCATTCCAAGCACTCCTGTGTAAAATGGGATGGATTTCCTCGGATCCTTTACACGATACATCGTTTGTTGGAACATAAAGTCCTGTAATAAATACATTTAAGTCATTAGTATACTATCCTTTTGCTAATTGAGGGTAGGCACAGTATTGTGGGGATCAAGTTTAGTCCCTTTTATTTCCGACCCTTTTTCTTATGAGGATGTCTATAGGCACCAGTCGCTTCGCTACTTTGACAGATTCAGGTGACCGCTTGCTTTATTGCCATCTTGTGATAATAAAAAAAAATGGCTTTTAGCTGTCATATCTGAATTCACACCTTTTTCACTTATCTATATAATTTGGTGATGTTATGGTTTAATATGTAAAGTTTATGCATTTTATATAACTTTATATATTGTCATGTTTTAAGGAGTTTGTAAACTGGATTTATTATATAAAAGATAAACTGTTAAATTTAACATATTGTATAAATTCACATATTCAGTATTAAAAAATTAACCGTCAATAATTGCTACATATAATTTTTTTCTCATAGAATAGTTCTGATAAGAAGGTCAAGGAATTTGATAAAGAAGATTGTTTTGGTATCATATATTTAAAAAAACTGATAATTTACTTTAAAACAACTAAGCTATGTTCCTATTTATTTGCCTTAAAAAAAACTGTAATTTAAAAGTACAGAATAATAGGTTATTTTAAACTTATCAAAATCCAATATGACAATTCTAAATCATTCTATTGCGATAAAAATAGGAAATTGTTTTAATTCTATAGATAAATACGATAAAGCGTCTACATTTTAATCTTATGAAACTGCAAAAAGGAGTATTAAAGAAATATGAACTTTATAAACTTACATTACGTCTTATAATCGATTGTTTAGTTTTTTTTTAATCACTGACCTTGGTAGAAGGATGTGGAGTTTGACATAATGATTCCACTTCCTGAGGAGATATTCCTTGACCAGACATGGTTCTGAAAATTATTCGATAATTTTACAATTACTAAAAATGTTACTCTTTATTTAGCAATGTAGAAATTAATACGGAAATGCTAATAAAGTTTTCGTAAAAAAATTACCTGTGTATTAATGTGTCGATGGGCTTGAAATTCTTAAAATAATTAAAGTTCAATCGAGCAAAAGTCAACATCCGATATGATTATGTCAATGTCAAATGTCAACTGTCGTTTATTTATGTCACTGCTAGGGATGCCAGAATGCCAGTGTTGATATGTAGATTAACTGTCAAGATTTGAAGCATCGATTGTATCGATTTATTTACGTTTTATACTAGTTTTCAGTGGTTTACAGTAAAATATGTTACTGAATAAAATTTTGTTTCCGACATAACATTTTAAATAACTTTTACTTGTATTTAAGTCAAATCAAAGAGCAATATCTGCATAAAATCGAAATATTTGACTTTAAAAAATCGATTTATTTAGAAATAAGAAAATGAATCTTATCAAACAAAGAACCATTCAGTTATATAACATTTTTTAATATTCTTAGAAAGTTTTGTTTATTGTAATACTATGCAAACACTGTATTTATAATTAAAATGAACAATATATTTTCAGGTATTTGTGCATCTGCAAAATGATTTTAAAATTTAATTAAGGGATACTAATAATATGGAGATTTACAAAATAACTTGATACAAAAGAATATTTAATTAACATAATAACAGCTAGTTTAAAAGAATATTTAAACTAGCTGTTGTCCGCAACTTCGTCCGTGTGGTATTAGAAAACATACTGACTATATAAATAACAAAAAGCTACATATCCCTCGGGAACCGGACACCTCAGGGATGAAGCTTATCCTCAGATAGTTTAAAAATGACCACTGTCAGATTAAGGAACAAATTCTGATATTTCCATCACATATTTTACACATTAGATTGTTATCAGACAATTTACAATTTGGACAAGCACTTAGTTACATAAATATTACTATTATTTTCAATCATATGAAATAGTAAATCATATTGCCACATTTATTCTACTCTTGTGAGGTCCAGATTCCAGGTTAATCTATCATCTCATTTCTCAACCCTTCTTGATCATGTCTCTAGCTTTAATACATATTTCAAAGCATGTTTATAATTAGTATAAACAATCTTATCAACTGTTTTCTAAAGGCTTTGGTTCTTCTGGTATTTTGTTCCAAAGGTAAAATTTGTCATAAATATATCTAAGTTCCTCCATCCATACAAGATCTCTTTCTATTGACGCGTGCTTACAATTAAATGCAGAGACTACTCTGTTTCCAACATCATCCACAAAAATGTCACCCACTATGCAAATATAATCTCCTCTGACGATATTCAATACATTTTCTGTCTTTTCTGATATCAAATTAAACATAGAAGATAATATTGTAGAGTTATCATTATTAAAAGCGTACGATTTTGATATTTCGATACTTAAATCTTTTATTGTATCGTTTTTTAGGTTATTATTACTTTTGGAACAGTCATAATAAACTTTAACGGAACCTGTTGCGTCACTGATTTCTAAATTAATCGATTTACTTGTTTTGTTATAAGAATCCGTAACAACACCTTGAATCATGATGTTTTTGAACTTCATTCCGAACAGTTCATAAATGTATTTGTTTTCGATAGTATTTTTCGCGCGGAAAATATCTTGTATGTAAATCTTCAGAGGGTTTCTTTGAACATCCATTATGATGGAGAGATAAACTTTCTTTTAAAGATTATTATAAATCTTTTTTACACTATTTGGGTTAATTGTTTTCAAAGTTTTGAAACATTACGGATCAACCGTTTTCAATTTCAAAACAATGTAAATTTGACAGTGACAGTTGACAGTTGGCAGCAGTTTTTTTTAATTTAAATGATATACAATGGTTTAAAACTTACAGCCAATTAGCAGCAACTAACGGTTTTAACAAATCGTTAAAATAAAATTGAATCATCAAAAAAAAATGCAAATCAACGAATGGATAAAGAAATAGTAATAAGTAAAAGTTGAAGTTTCGGGTTTAGCCAAATAAAAATCCCTGACTACCCTTATGAGTTATGGGTGTGAGTTATTTAAGCTGCTTTTAATCTGATCTTGTCTGATCAGGAAGTTACATATTTATTTTCTTTCTGTCAAAAATATTACGTAGGAGCGTAGAGTATTTTGTACACAAAAGTGTTTTGCGCAAACAACAAACAAGCTACACTCGAAAACAACGTCATCATAAAACGCTATAACAATGTTGGTGGCCATACAAACCAAGCAAGCGGCTTATAAGATAATCCGTTCGAGCTATTGGATCAAATATAGCTATCAACAAAAACTACATAGAAGAATATAAATAAATGTACTTGGAATAGATTCCAATTGCTTTTTAATGATTGTTTCAATATATCTCTTACAGTTTGATGTTTCGATGATAATAAACGTTGTATTTATTAAACCGTTGATAGTAACGTGATTTTCAAAATTCGAACATTGACTTTTTTTTTATAGTAAAAGGGGGCAAACGAGCGGCGCACATTGGGCTGGATCCAGTTGCTCCATAGACAACTTTATCTGATGTTTGCAATGTCTCTTTTTTTTGCTTGAATGTGCTTTGTAT